TTATTTTAACCAACACGTTTCGTCCTCCGTGGGACTTTATCAAGCCAATTGTGGACAAGAGACTCTGGGAATATTAAACTTAAAGATTTTTTCTATATATGTTCTGCGTATAAAATTTAGCCAATTTCAGTTAGACTATTTTTCTTTTTGTTTCCATCAATTTTGTTATTAAATATCCCACATTGTAATAACAGAAGATATGCCAAGACTGCTGAAACGTTGTAAGAATCTAGAATCTAATTATGGATGGCCTAGCGATTAAAGCATTATTTAAATATTTTCGTCTTAGTTTCTCCTTTAATTCGAGTAACATTTTTGATATCCAAATTAATGAGTTCTCTTTAAACGTTCCCTTTTGCGTTCATATAATCTCTTATTTAAATTGCTTGAGGTTTCTCTGATGCATTGCTTGTAGCAATCATTGCCGGTGCTAGAGTAGATTCCTCCTTGATGTTTTTGCCTATTATTTTGTTTTATATTAATTAAACATTTAAAATGAATTTATTGTTCTCTCTCTCTCTCTCTGACACACACACACACACACAAGCACACACGTGTATATATATATATATATATATATATATATATATATATGAAACTGCTGAACGCAAATTGATGTGGATGATCTAGCGATTAAAGCACTTTCTAGACTTTTTCATTTTGTTTTCTCTTTTAATTAGAGTAGCGACAAATTAATACGTTTAATGTGTTACTTTTTAGAAGATTCCGTTTGTGTTCTTTTGTGATGTCAACCAAAGCTCGTCGCCACTTTGGTGATGTCAACGAATACTCGTTGTCACTTTCGTAATGCTCGTTGTAGTAGAGACATTGTAATCGTAGATACAACTATAGTAACGCCGTTGAACAATACTGGTGTCACACGCCTTCGAATAACACTCGCCTTAATAATACTTGCTCTATAATACTATAATAATACTATAATAATAGAGGAATACTATAATGAATAGAGTAGAGAATAGCGTTCCGTATATAATAGAAGATAGAGTATAAATGATGATCCGTATAGTAATAGAGGATAGATTAGAAATAGCGATCATTTAGACGTCACACTACTTCCTACACATATGGTCACGTAGTCTGATTAATTTAATAATGTGATCGCCTGCGTTTGCTCACTGGCGATCTATGTTCAAACTCAAGTGTCGGCAGCAACACTTTCTTCCTATATAATATGTTCGTATATACTTTTATTTAAATTCCTTGAATCTTCTCCAATATATTTTTTTCTGGCAAAAGCTTACTGGGTTCTCCTAGGATATAGCAGACAGACATCTTGCCATATTTTTCTTAAATGACATTTCTTGAATATTCAGGCCTGTTGACGACATTAAATGCATATACTGCTTAAGAGTCTACTGAAATACGAGTAACCACTAAAATAATGTTTAATATCATAACACACATACACGCATACATACATACATACATACATATATATATATATATATATATATATATATATATATATATATATAAAAATATATACCATGTGTTATATTTATGGGATAAAGTGCTCAATATCAGAGATAGAGCGTGTGGAAATATTAAAGTAAACATAGGAGTCAACACTTAGAGGCGACAGTCTGTTTCATGCTAGATGCAATTCTCAGGCCACGAGTGCTGTTATTTTGCTCGGCTATTTATATATATATGAGCCAGTGGTGCATTGTGGGTAGTCTATTTTGGCGTTTATTTTACCGGACGTCGTTTATTTGTTTATTTAATTATTTTGCTTGTTTTTATTTATTTTTATTTTTTATTTTTTATTTCTTATCTTATATATTTATTAATTTTTTATTTTAATTTTAATCGGTGTTTTTATTAACGTAGTAAAAATTTGTTTATATCGCTTATTTAATAGTTTTGTTTTGGTTTGGGAAGATAATTAAAGCTATTTATTCAATTTTGGGGTTGATTTTTGTAGTTTATTCTAACTATTATTTTGGCGGGAAAAGTTTTTAATTTGTTTATTACTTCGTGTATTTATTTGGATTGATTATCTTTATTTGTTTCTTCTAACGGTTAGTTTATCGGGATCAGTTTGTTAGTTTATTTATTTATTTGGATGAATTTAGGTCAATTTATTTTACTTGTTATTACTTATTTGTTATACTGTATATTTTCTCTTTTCAGTTTTCGATTTTTAAGTGACGTAGTATTTTTTATCATTATATAACAGTTATAGCTTTTTTTTCATTTGATTTTTGGTTTGATTTTTATAGTCTAACTAATATTTTGGTCATAATGGTTTGCTAATTTGTTTATTATTTTATTTATTTGGGTTCATTGATTTTTCGTTTTTTTTTCTTATTTTTTATTTTATTTCGTCTATTCTAACAGGTGTGATTGGTAATTTGTTTGGATTCATTTATTTTGCTTATTTTATTGTAATTTTGTTTATTTATTTATTTTTATTTTATTTTTTCCGTTTTCGAACGTAGTAAAAATTTGTTTTCATGTCTGCATTTTGAGATGAGCTCGGATCTTTTATTTAATAATTTATTTTAGTCCGTGAAAGTAATGATAGCTATTTTTCCTCCAAGCAAAGTTTGCAACTTTTTCATTGGTTGTTGTAGGCTGATGGTCTTTACCTTTTTTTCCAAGATATTTTTGGTGTGATGTGTGTTTTTCAGTTACCCCTATTGACGGACCCTGGAAGCAAAGAAATTATACACACAAAACATCTTTCACAAATAGTAAATATGCGAAGAGCACAATGCTTTCTAAGTTTATCTGGGAAATTAAAAACAAAACGCACATCACACAAACATATCTTGGAAAATAAGAAAAAGACCATCAGCGTTCAACAACCAATCAAAAAAAAAATTGCATCTAGCATGAGACAGACTGTCGGCTCTAAGTGTTCACTTTTATATATATATATATATATATATATATATATATATATATATATATATATATATATAATGATAATATTTGGCAATCGTTGGATAATTTGAAAAGTGAAGAGTTCAATGTCCAAAAGCAGAACAATTATAATTATTATTATAAAGAAAAACGAACTCTTAAAAGAACATAGTGATATTTATTTCGTTAATATATGTATTACAAGTATTGTAGCAATCTCTGGTTATCCCCCCTTACATTGGGAACGCTTATTTACAAACAACGATTAATTTTTAAATAATTTTAATTATAACAGAGCGAGTTTGCAAAGAACAACACTACAACGATTGCAATTACATTAAGTTTGTCTTCACAATTCACCCCCCCGTTAACAAATACTACGGTATGTTCTTTGTTCAATTTCAACTTGAAGAATGAAGATGATAAGAGAGGTAGAAAAAAAAATAAAAAGACCCAATACATCTTTATTATTTAATTTATATATATTCTTAGGGAATCACACTCATCTATCTATCTATCTATCTATCTATCTATCTATCTATATATATATATATATATATATATATATTCTGTGTATTTAGGCACCATTTTTTCATTAATGCATGTTTCTTTAAATAATATAGACAAGAAATAGTTTGTTGTAAGTATGTTTTATAAAATGTTTTCATCTTTCAAAAGACGGTCAAGATATTGTGTCCATCTTCAAAGTTAATATTATTAAATGTTGTTATTTTTTGTTTTTATTAATAAGGCTTTCATTATTTTTAGCGTTTTTTGCATGTAGATGAGGCTATTATATTTGTGTTGTCAACAAGTATGTTACGAATAGTGTCCGGTAGGTCTCCATGAATATCTAAATGAGATCTAATTGAGCTATGGTCAGAAAGGTGTAGAGTAAGTCTGCGTGTCAAACATGTTGTAGTGTGGCCTATATAATTATTTACGAATTTTGATTTCTCAGGAATACAATTCCTTAATGGGCATCACAATATCCCGACCGTGTTTTGAAAAATGAAAACATTTTATAAAACTTACAACTATTTCTTATTTAACAGTTAAAATATTTAATCCTTGAAATTGGCTAAATGTATAGCCGAAACGCTCGGATAAAAATGAAAATTCGGACAGTTTTTATATAATTTATCATCTGAAAAAAAAATTAGATCGCATGAGAAATTGTATAAAAACTAATTAAAAGCACCTTGTCTGTCGTTTTCAATGAAATGTGCATATATATATATATATATATATATATATATATATATATATATATATATATATATATCCTTCACTAAGACATCTTTGTGTGTGTGTGTGTGTGAGAGAGAGAGAGAAAGAGAGAGAGAGAACGATATCGGTATAGATGCCATACAAATGAAATGAGGTATCGAGTCTATAAACTTCACTTTGCAAGATATAAAACATGTTTCTTAAAGCCTCATTTTGCCGTGGAACCATCCATTCACTGATTCTTTAGAGAAGCGTCTTTGTCATCTTCAGTTGTCCCTTCATAATCAGACATGTTCTCAGTTTTCATTAGCATAACGGCTCTGATCTTCCCAACGTGTTTGTTCAGTTTATTTCTTGCACAAAACACGCGAATATGTATAAAATATGTATAAAATATGATATATACAGGCTAAATAAAACTGGGATATGTATTTATTAATCGCTCACGAGATGGACATTTCTAAAGCGCCATTTTGAACATGTATTTAAAGATATAAAAACCAAAGATGTTAACTATCGTTTGGCTTTCATTCATTTTTCTTTGGGGGGTGGCTAATTCTACACCTGTATCTGCTTTCTTCTTCTTTCTTTTCTTTTCTTCTTTTTTTTTATTGTCATTTTAGTTCTTTTTTTCTTTCTTTCTTTCATTTTTTTTCTTTTATTTGATATTTTTCTTCAGTTTCTTCTTGATTTTTTAAAATTTATTCATTCTTTCTGTTTGAGTTTGCCTTTCTTTTCCTTTCTATATTTCTTTTTTTTTTCTTTCTTTCTTCATTCATCTTTTATTCTTTTTTATTCCAACCACACTTTATTTCATTTGATTTTTTTTTTTTTCATGAAACTATTTTCATTTTTCGGTTTGTTCTTTCTTTCTTTCTGAGCTCACGTTTCTTTCCTTTTTTTTTCTTTATCTTTCTTTCCTACTTCCTTTTTTCCTTTTTTTTCTTTTTATTTCCCTTTTGTCTTTCTTTCTATTTCCATTCTTTCTTTCTTTCTTTCTTTCTTTCTTTCTTTCTTTCTTTCTTTCTTTCTTTTGTTCCTTTATTCATTTTTTATTCTTTTTTATTCTAACCACGCTTTCTTTCATTTCATATCTTTCTCTAATTTCTACATGAAACTTTTTCATTTTTCGTTTGTTCTTTCTTTCTTTGTGAGCTTACATGTCTTTCTTTCTTTTTTCTTTCTTTCTTTCTTTCTTTCTTTCTATTTCCCTCTCTTTCTTTCTATTTCCATTTCTTTCTTTCTTTCTTTCATTCTTTCATTCTTTCTTTCTTTCTTTTTCCTTCTTTCCTACTTTCTTTCTTTTGTTCTATTTCCCTCTTTCTTTCTATTTACATTTCTTTCTTTCTTTCTTTCTTTCTTTCTTTCTTTCTTTCTTTCTTTCTTTCTTTCTTTCTTTCTTTTGTCCCTTCATTCTATTTTTTTATTCTTTTTTATTCCTACCAAAATTTCTTTCATTTTTTAATTTTAATTTTTTTTTTATTCTATCGTTCTAATTTTTCTTCAAATTATTCTTCCATCTTCACCCTTCATTCAGCTTTCATTTTCTCTCTCACCCTTTCTTTCATTATTTTATTTAGTGATTTATTCTGATTTCTATCCTTCAACTTTTTATTATTTTTAGTTTCCTTCCTTCCTTCCTTCCTTCCTTCCTTCCTTCCTTCCTTCCTTCCTTCCTTCCTTCCTTCCTCTTACTTTTTCCTTTTACTTTTTCCTTTATCGTTTTTTTACTTTCTTTGCTTATTTTGTTCTTTCATCTTTTTTTCTTCTTTTTCCTTCGTTTCTTTTCTTCCTTACTTTTTATCTATCCTTTGTTTTTCCTTCTCCTTTTCTTTCCTTTCTCATCGTGTTTTCTTGTTTCTTTCTTTTTTCTTTCTTTTTAGCTTACTTACTTTTACTTACTTTCCTTTTCATCATTATTTTTACTTACTTTCCTTTTCATCATTATTTCTTTCTTTATTTTTTCATCTTTTTTTTCTAATTCACCTTTATTTTCTTTCATTTGCTTTCTTCGTTTTGATCTTTCCTTTTCTTTCTTTCGTTATTTATTTCTTTTGTTCCTTCATTCATTGTAAATTCTTTTTTTTTATTCCAGCTATCCTTTCTTTCATTTTTTCGTTCACCTTTAGTTCTTTCCTTCTTTCTTTCCTTCTTTCTTTCTTTCATTCTTATTTTCTTCAATTTCTTTCCATGTTTGCATTTTGTCCTTTCCTTTCTTAATAATTTCCTTCGTTCTTTTATTTCTTTCTCCATCCATTTCTCTCTTCTCTCTAGCTTCGTTTATTATTATTATTATTTAGCCATCTATTCCCAGCTTCTTTTGTACCTGTTTGTTTCATTTTTCCCAGTTCTCTATTTATTCCCACGACACTTTCTCCTCCTACACAGCGTATCGGTTCCAGCATCATTTTTACTTTTCTCAGTGTCTACTTCCCTAACTTTATTCTTTCATTTTCCTTTCGGATAATTCTTCTCTTCTCACTCGATTTCTGCAAACTAATTCATAACTTCAGCATTCAGTAGCACGTACGCCGATACGTCTTTCCTGGCATTTAAACAACCTGCTCGCAAATCACCTCTTCCATTTCCTTTCGCTCAAATTCATGACTTACCAAAATAACGATTCCAACTCGCCGCTTTTTACTTTTATTTCCATCCAAAGAGTCATTTCCTTCTCTTCTACTGCGCTCATAAAGTTATGTCAAACATTGATGCTACTCATTTAGCCGACTAAATTGTCCAAATCACCGACCCAAAACGAGGCTCTCCATCCCCTATACACAAAATGGCGGACGCTTGGCGGTGAGTCAGGCAAAGAGTCCTTATCCAATTATTTAGCTATTTTAGAATCAAAGAAGATAGCAGTTTATATACGTAGTGTGTTCATTGTAATGAATGTCCCCACATCGAGTTCCGATAAATTACAGTTTTGTTTGTAATATAACGCGGCTTACATGGAATTATTGACTATAAGTCATATTGGACCTTACGTTTATGCCATCGTCTGTTCGTGTCTTTGGTTGAAAGTATCGACCAGCAGAAGCAAAGTTTCCTTGCAGGAATACAGCTTTACTGACTTAGCATTGAATACAAAAGAAATTTCGTTGCAAAACTCAACTAAAGATACAATAATGAATGCCTTTTGTATAGTTAAAGATATATATGCATATAAATATATATATATATATATATAATTTTTTTTTATAGATACAATAATGTTAAGAAATGGACGAAATTTTGCTCTATGCCAGTATTAAATATATATATATGTTAAAGAAAAATAGGACGAGGTCCGACAATATACGCTGGCGTTTATTTATAAACTAAATACATTTTTTTAATTTAAATATTTATAACGTTGTTATTTTTTTTTATAGATACAAGATTTAAGCAAATGCTCTGTTTAGATAAACAGTATTAAATAACATTACCGGCCTGAATGTCCGAGAAATTTTCATGGAAAATATTCGTTTATAACAGTAAACCTGATCCTATGGAACCGCCATATACGCTGGCGTTCCACTCGGCCACCATGAACCTTATGGTAGACAAGGTCAGCCAGCTGTTATAAACTACAATCTTCCAATCTCGGTTCATAACTGCTCTGGCGTATCGAATGTAAACAAATGACGTCATTGTTTGGACGAGGTCCGAAATTTTATTTAATAAAGACAGCAATGTTATTTAATATTTTTATTTTTATAAATAGAGCATTTGCTTAAATATGCTTGTTTATATAAAAAAAAAAATAACAACGTTAAATTAAAAAAAATGTCATTTAATAAAAAATATTCGTTCATAGTCCATTTTTAAATATACGCTTTGTTTGCCTTCGATACGCCAGAGCAGTTATGAACCTTCATGGTAGATTGTAAGGTAAATTCGACCTTGTCTACCATAAGGTTCATGGTGGCCGATGGTAGACGCCAGCGTATATGGCGGTTCCGTATAGGATCAAGAGGTTCGAATTGTCTATGAACGAATATTTTCTATGAAAATTCTCACATTCAGGCCGGTAAATGTTATTTAATACTGTTTATCATAAACAGAGCATTTGCTTTTAATACTTGTATCTATAAAAAAAAAAAAAAATAACGGAAAACAAAATTAAACATAAATAAAAATAATATAAAAATAAAGTTCCGGATATATAAGATAAATAACAGAGGGAGTAAAAAATAAAGTTCCGTAAAAAATTGCTCAATAAAAGTACAGCAAAATATTTTTATAATACTTTTATTATAATAGATTATATTAAAAAACATTTTATAACACTACAAAAAATGCTTTCATGTTTCAATACTATGATTGTACTTCCTCGGGCGATGGTAGACGACTTGTGATAAATGTGATTTATTAAGAAAATTTAAAAACAAATTGTTACCTCTTTTCGGAGGCTAAAGGGTGAGGGCATAAGGTCAGAATTAAAAATATACTGGTGTTTATATCTAGATTAACCAATTAAAAGTCAGATATACGCTAAAATAGAAAATAAGGTCAGAGGGTGGGATGTTATTTTTTCATGTAAAGATAAACTGATGCTTGGATATGTCATCCATCGATCGTAGGAAATATAATACTGTTTTATTGTAGCATTACACACACACATATATATATGCATGTGTGCATGTGAATTACAATTAATGAGATGCCCAAAATTTACCTCATACAGATGATCATTTCGTCTATGGGAAAGTAGTCTTTCCCTGAACTTATCAATGCAAATACATTTACTAAATTTTAGTAAATACATTTGCATTGATAATTCCAAATAATTTCAAAATGAGGTAGGGTAGGGGTGCCTATTCTACAAATGATGACACCGTTTTTCGCATGTCGTCTTGTTTTTGTCAGCGATAAAAGTTTTTTTTTTGCATTTTTATTTTGCCGTTAAAGCCATAATTGTATAGACAAATATTTTTTTTCAAAAGGGTCTTTTGAATATGAGTACGTCGTATTTTTAATATTCAAAATACAATTTTAAAATATTATTCCTAATTCTGATTACCAATAGACAATACGTTTTTTTTTTTTAAAATAAATATATTAGATTTACTATCTTATTTAAAAGATATTATTAGAGGATCAAGTATTAATATGTTTCATTTTTCATCTTTTTTTTCTTTTTTTTTCTTTTTCCCTATTTAATCAGGCGTCAATGATATTATATGAAAAGATTAATAAACTTTTAAATATCAAATTTATCCCGACATAGATTTTTCTTGGTAAAATTTCCAGTCTTCAGGACTATATTTCTAATTTTTTTTTCAATTTTTTCTGCGTCATTTTCAATTCTCTCTCTTGCTAACGTTTTTTTTAAAAATAAATATATTTAATTTATTATCTTATTTAAAAAAATATTATTAGAGGATCAAGTATTAATATGTTTCATTTTTCATCTTTTTTCTTCTTTTTTTTTTCTTTTTTCCCTATTTAATCAGGCGTCAATGATATTATATGAAAAGATTAATAAACTTTTAAATATCAAATTTATCCCGACATAGATTTTTCTTGGTAAAATTTCCAGTCTTCAGGGGTTGTAGTTTTAAACAATATTTCTAATTTTTTTTTCAATTTTTTCTGCGTCATTTTCAATTCTCTCTCTTGCTAACAGGAGTAATGGATACCGGCTTGGATTGAGGAATCGGAGAGCCGAGTTCGAATTCCAGTCGAATCCAGTTAAATTCTCTTACGAAAGGTGTGAATCCTCTTCTCCCTCCAGCTATGGGTAAATAGCAGGACAGACTGGGTGGCTTCTAGAAGAAGAACAACTCTGAATTCAAAACCTACGGAATGTCGTAGTGCACCATGTGTCTGTATTCGGCACTTCAAAGACTGTCGATGGTTCTGCACGAAACCTTCACCACTATAATCAAACCTCTCGGGCTGTCGGCTTCCTGGGAGCTGATCTGCTTGACCCTTTATGTCGAATTCGACGGGAGTGTCGAATATATATCACACACATATATATATATATTACACACACACACAAACTAACACACACACATATATATATATGTGTGTGTGTGTTAGTTTGTGTGTGAGTAATATATATATATATATATATATATATATATATATATATAACATATATTATTAAATATAACAGAAAATGGATGTCTATTATGTTTGGTGATGAGACGTTCTAAACTTCGTATGGTTGCTTTAATTTCTGGTAAAAATAAGGACAAACATTGTCCAACATTTGGATATTTTTACTAATTAAGCTGTTTTTTCATTTAGTCTTTTGGCTCACATGAGCCATTTTCCAAATGGTTATACGGACATTTAAAGAAAGATATTCGACATCAAATATGATATTCTGTTTTGTTGACATACAAGTTTGCTATGCGACTATAACGTGCTTCGACATCCTAGAACTGCGTCTTGAATTTACGACTTGAGTCTGTTATTCGGCGACCGTTATCGTCGTATAACAATTTCTATGTCAACATAACAGAATATTATGTTTGATGGTGACTATCTTTGTTTAAATGTCACTCTGATGATGGCGCATGTGAGCTGAAAACTTAATTTAGGGTTTTTTAGATATTAAACATTTTGTGGGATAGAGAATTACGGTGTTAGATGATTTGTACAATTTTGCAGTTACAAGTATATATATATATATATATATATATATATATATATATATATATATATATATTATAAAATGGACAAAGTCCAACAATTATTTTAAGACATTTTTTATGTTTAGACATTCTTTTTTTATAGATACAAATATTTAAGTGAATGCTCTGTTTATAATAAAAAGTATTAAGCAAAATTGACCGGCCTGAATGTAAACAAATGATACGCCATGAGCAGATATGAATGTACGTGAGAGATTCATGGAAGATTGAAGTTTAAAGGCAGTAAATTCGACCTTGCTAACCGAACGCTCCTCTGTAGCCAAATCGGTTAAGGCACGTCAAGCTAAATAACGGTTCCGTATAGGATACAGGTTCGAATCCAGTCGGAGGACGAATATTTTCTGTGAAAATTTCTCGGACATTTAGGCTGGTAAATGTTGTTTAATACTGTTTATTATAAACAGAGCATTTACTTAAATCTCTGTATCTATAAAAAGAATGTATAAACATAAAAAATGTCTTCATATATATATTGTGTATTTAGGCAGAATTCCTCCTTTATGCATATTTCATTAAAAACGACACTACGGTTAAGCTTTTTATTTAATGTTTCTTGTGTTCGCACAGGCGCTTTCCTTTTTTTAGGATGATTTTATTTTTCAGTTAAAACTGAAAAATAAAATCATCCTTGATAATGGCTAAAAGTATAGCCGAAAGTGCTCGGAATTATAAAACATTTAAACAGTTTCTACACCCTCTGTGTCCAAAAAAGAAAGCTCTTGTGCGAACACAAGAAAAATTAAATGAAAATTATAATATATATATATATATATATACGACCAATTATTTCCCAGATACCAACACCTATCTACGA